GGAATCCATTGCCTGTGGGGGGAAAGTGTTGTGTATAGAATCCTTAGACCACAAAATTTGGCACATCCATATTACTTGTTTACGTGGCGTTTCTGGATTGGATTTTATTCACAGAGATCACGAATTCATTTCATCCTGGCATTTTGTCTTCCTCCGAATAACTATGAGCTACACCAACATTGATGAGTTCCACGTAAATTTAAAACGAGCACCACCAAAATTGTACAACTTTTATTAATAAACTCCTAATTGTTTTATAATTTTCTCATTTTTTTCAAAAGTATTTACATTACTGCAGATGAGTTGATGGGTTATTTGACCACTTGACCAAGTAGGATGCGAAAAAGTCTAAGTCTTGGATTAAAAAATTGGCAATTTTTTTAGGTGTAAAAGTAATAAATATTATCAAGTGATGAAAAATAATTGTAAAATTGGAAGAGAGAGATGTATATATATATATATATACACACACCCCATGTTGTTATTATGACTTTTTGTTAAGGATTGAGTTCTAAAATATATGTTATATGTCAATAACTGAGTCATTGTTGACAAAGAAGGAAAAAAAGCAACTGAGTCAAATAAATCTTATATTCAGTAAGTGATTGCATTTGATGAAAAAAGTTTGTCTTCAAAGTATTAATTTAGTTGATAATTATATAATAATTTTAATTAAAATAATTTATATAATTATCATTATCATAACAATTTAAATATATTCGCTTTTACTAAAAAAATTAAAAGGCAATTATCGGAAAATTTTGTTTTAGAATAAATCATGGATTGGAAATAAGTATGTTAGTGGAATTTTATGCTTTTAGAAGTATATAAATTACTAATTAGAAATTTATTTATGCATTAATTAAATTATTCACCTTATTTTCATGCATAAATTAAGATTTTCTAAAATTTAATTTCCCCTAATCGAAACTTCATTTTGTGGACGTGAATGTACGCTTCGTTACACAAGATAATTACATAAGACAAGATTTGGTTCAATTAATAGTAGAAAGAAGTTGATACATACTTTGATATGATTTCCTTTGGCATTTGTTTTTGATCTTCTTTTACACCTTTTTGGTTCAGACCAAATGGAGCATCTGAAAACGAAAAAGAAGATGAAGACAAGATTTTTTCTTAACGGTACGATATCATGTGTTTATGTTCCTCTTTAAGCTAGACAAATTATTAGGGCAGGACTAACCTTTTCTACCGTCTTACTCTTTTTGAATAAAAAACGTTTAATTACCCTCCTCTTATTTCTTTTAATTTTTAATGTCTCAATTTTACATTTTCTTTTATTGGCAGGGAGAAAATCCTGAAACCTTTAGTTCTCGAATTAAAGTTTCACCGTATACAAGAATGTAATTTCTACTTGTAATATATAATCTCATAAGCAAAAAAAAAAAATAGAGCATGCTATCCATTTGGTCACTTTATTTCTTGAAATGATCAATGTTTATAAAAATTAATATTTCTATCACTTGATTAGAAGTTAATGAGTGCCAAACATGACTTTTCACTTCAACCGATTTTACTTATATAAACACTTTTCCATGGTGTATGAATTGACATGGACATGCCATGTGACTAATATTAGCTAATGGGAAAAAAATAATGTTATATAGTTGTTAGCTTTGAATAATTGAATAATCAACATTATAATTTTTATAAACATTAATGATCAAAATGTGATTTTTCATAGTCTAGTAATCAAAATAAAAAATCTCAAAAGTTAAATGACAAAATGAGTAATTTGCTTCAAAAAAAAACCTTGAAATTTTAATAGTTTATACTAATTTCTCATACTTTTGTTACTTTTTAATATTAAAGATTATTAATATGATACTAAAAAAGTTTAAATATATATAAACTACATTTAAGTTAAATATTTATCTTGATGGTCGTGATGAATCAAATGTGAACAAAGGTAAATTTATACAAACAGGAGAGTATTTTATATATATATATATATATATATATTCATAGTTTAGGGTGCCTTTTGGAAACGACTTCTTATAGTGGCCTCACGAATGTACCCAAGATAAAGACAGCAGCTGAAGTGGAGCTTGAACAATGTTTGGGAGCAGCATTTAGCGTACCACTTTTGAGAATGACTTGGATAATAGGACATCTATATAAGGAATTCTTTTATTTTATTTTATTTTTAAATTTCTCTGATTATCTCCTTTCATTTTCCTTTTTGGATTTATTATTCATTTATTTTGTGTGGCTTCCTTCCTTCAGGCCTACATGGTGCATTTATGTTCTGTGGGCTTAGTCAATGGTGAACCCGACCACGAGAATATAAAAAAACAATTCAAGAAATTATTAATAAAAGAGGAAAGAAGGTTGGACTTAATGTATACTAATATGAACGTGCAAACTTCAATTTATTTAATTACAAGAAACAAATGATGAGTTGTACATAATGGTTGAAAATTCAAGTAGAGACGACGAATTTTACTTTTCAAATGAAACTTTAGAGGCTAAAGAAAACTTATTTATATTTTTAAAAATGGAAAT